GGTGTGGTAGTTAAACTGGCTGGATTCCACATGGCTGTGCGGTCAGTTACCTGATAGCTTGAGAAGATCCCAGCAGGAGGGAGAAATGGAGAAGAGACTGCAGTGTGATCATCCCCCATGGAGAGTGTTTTTCCACTTTCCTTCTCTCTCTCTCTCTCTCTCTCTGCCTCTCCAGCCAGTGTACAACCCTGTCTGCCAAAATTAAAAGCAAATATGCATAGCATCTGAGCAGGGAGGATATATGGAGAAGTTAATTCATTCATTTTTTTTTAATCATTCAACTTTTGTTTGGTTTTGAGCACCTATGCTATTAATATTTCAGATTCTAGACTAAGCACCGGGGTTATAGAACAGTGAGCTCTATGGACATTGCCCCAGTTCAGTCCTCAGTTGAGTTAAGAGATTGGGTAAGACCTTGGAAGGTATGAAAAACTACTTAGAGAGTTTTATTTGGTTCTTGAGGTCCTTGCTACTCAGTGTGGATGGACTTTAGACCAGCAGCATAGGAGTATCCTGGAAGTTTGTTAGCAATACAGAGTATCATAGCCTCAGACTTCTTGGATCAGAATTTCATTCTAGCGAGATCCCTAGGTGATCTCACATACATTGAAAAGTTTTTGGAGAGGTTTTTGCTATAGATTGTGTGTGCTTGCTAGAGAGAAAATGTGAGGCAAAAAGCCAGAAATTATCCCTCAGTGGGGATGACCATGCTGCAAACCCCTCCTCCTTTTCCCTGTCAGGACTTCGGGCATACACACACGCATGTACCTGGCGTGAGTTTCAAGCCTCCGGGTCTGAGACTTGAAATGTGATTGGCCACATGGGAGTCCAGTGCCTTAACCACTATGCCATGTGCTGGCCTCCATATACATTAATGTTAAGTAGCATTGTTATAGGCCAACTGAGCCAATGAGAGAGTATGTAAATGAATTAGAGTAAAAGAGTTAGACAACATGTAAGCAAGCATAAAAATAGGTTAGTAATCTAATCAGCATTGGATGAGCTCGGAATGAACTGCACCTGGGACTATAACTGTAGCTCAGATGAGAAGTGGGAGGCGTTGGATGTGTGAAACATACAGAATCTTTTTGTATATAGATATAACCTCAGTTCCATTAACTCATATTGGAAATATTGTATGCTATTTAAAGGGGAAAAAATCAGAAAATCCACTAATATAGTACTTAAGATGTCTTAAAAGGTGTTGGTTATTTGTTTTAGACAAAGCTTATTGGTATGTTGATTTCCTGTCTATGCCACAGGTCCAAGGTCTATTATTGAGCATTGCAGAATCAGGCCCTTAATTGTATAAGTTTATAGGAGCAAGGGCAATAAGAGCTTGGAAATGAATCATTATAGTCAAGTTCAGAAAAAGCTGATTTGCCAACTGAAAATTCAATTTGTTAATTTCTAATGGAGTAATTACCTTTCCGCTAACTGGAGATTTTTTTCTTTTTAAATATTATTTATTTAATTGTATTTATTCATTCATTTATTTTAATTTGGCCAGAGAAAGATAGATACAGGAAGAGAAGGAAAGTGAGAAAGCAAGCCACCAGGTCCGGGACTGGGACCGTGGTCAGCTATGTGGGAGTGTCCAGCACCTTAACCACCACAAAACCAGCTAGCCCCGATTTTTTTCTTTTATAACCAGTGTGAAATTTTTAATGACAACTTTTTATTTTGAAATAGTTCAGGATTCACAAGAAGTTACAAAAACAGGACAGATAATTCCTAAGTACTCAGCAAACTGTGCCCAATGATAATAGTAACCATACACAGAGTGACTAATTCAACCCAGGAAACTGACATTGATACAATACTATCAACTCAAGTATAGACTTCATTCGGATTTCACTAGTTTCTTTCAGCTAGGCACGTGTGTATGAGTATAGTTCTTCAAAATATAATCGCACGTGTAGATTAAAGTAACAATCACCACAATCGGGATCCAAAACTGTTCCTTGTTACGAATAAATTGTGTTCTATTTCCCCGTAATAGTTCTATTCTGGGGCCAGTAGGTGGTATAGTGCTTAGTTAAGGTACTGGATTTCCACATGGCCCACCATGGTTTGAAATTCCAGGCCCTATGGCTTGAGAGTAATGCTGGGAGTGTGTGTGTGCACCCAAAGTCCTGAGAAGAGACTGGAAGAGAGGGGATTACAGCATGGCCATCCCCCTTGGAGAGGGTGATTTCTCATCTCCCTCTTTCTCTCTGGTGAGTGCTCTCCCATATGGCAAAAATCTTAAAAAAAAAAGGAGAGAGAAAGTTCTAAACATTCCCCGACCCTGATCCTTGTCAACTACTGATTTGTTTTCTATAACAGTAATTTTGTCATTTTGAGAACATTAGATAATAGAATCAAAGTGAATGACTCTGAGATTGACTTTTTTTGTTGTTGTTGAGAGGTTTTTGCTATCGGGCATGGGCGCTGGCCAGAAAGACAGAGAGACACAATGCGAGAAATCACCCCCTGGGGGGATGGCCACACCGCAATCCCTTCTCCTCCATTCTCCTCTCGGGCCTCCCTCCTCCTCTCGCGATCTTTTGTACACACACACACACACACACACACACACACACACACGTGCCCGACATGAGTTTAATCTACCAGGTCCGGGACGCGAACCCCGGTAGACTACGTGGGAGTCTGGCGACACAGCCATTATGCTAACTGCTGGTCCCTTGATATACACAATTTAAAAAAATGTATTTTTCAAATATTTACTTAATTTATTTTTATTATCTTTAATTTTCTAGAGGGCACATGTGCTCACCAGAGAGAGACAGAGTGTGAGAGTGACAGAAGGAGAGAGAGGGAAAGTGAGAAAGCAAGCCACCAGGTTTGGGATTTGAAATGTGTTTGGCCATATAGGAATCCTGCACCTTAACAACCACATTACCTGCTTGCTTGCTATACACAGTTAAAAAAATTTATTATTATTTTAAAATTTGAGCAGAAAGAGACAGAGGAGAGAAAGGGAAAGTGAGAAAGCAAGTCACCAGTCCCTGTCTGGGACTTGAACTGTGGTTGGCCCTTTGGGAGTCCAGCGCTTTAACCACCATGCCACCTGCCAGCCCTGATACATACATAATTTTAACTTCTGTGGACTTAAATAATCAAGCTTTATGCCTCGCAGCTTTGTATCATACCTAGAATGTTAGAAAACACAGAGCAGCTTGATAACCTAATAGTTAAGGGAGTGGCTAACCATGGTTCAAATCCCAGCCCTCAGGGCCTGGAAAAAAACCAACATATTGGGTCCAACAGGATGGAGAAATGGAGAAGGGATTGTGGTGAGACCACACCCCATCGGTAGGCATTTTCTCTCTCTCCCTCTTTGGTGAGTGCATTTCTGGCAGTTAAAAAAAAATGCAAAACATATAGGTATGTGCAGAGTGGATTATTTGGAAATTCCGATGTATCATCAAAAGATTGCTCCATTTGCATGGGGTCAGAGCGAAGATAGTTGTGGGATATTTTATCGAGACTCTGGTAAACCTGGAGGATTACCTCTGCTACACTGTGGGATATGAATTTCTAGTGATTAGAATATTTTTGCATCAAATAGTGTCTTGCCATGTACACAATTATCAAATGTTCATAAGTTCTAACTGGTCAATTTTTTTTTCAATATTTCTTATCAAGCATCCAAAGTTTCTGTGGTTCAATATTATCTTATGAAGGACATGCTACAAATAATTAAAACTATTTTGGGACTAGCAGTTAGATTAATGGCTATGTCACTGGACTCCCATGTAGTCAACCGTGGTTCTAGTCCCGGACCTCGTGGTTTAAACTCATGCTGGGCATGTGTGTGTGCCTGCCCAAGAGGAGAATGGAGGAGAAGGGATTGCGGCATGGCCATCCCCCCTGGGGGGTGATTTCTTGCTTTCTGTCTTTCTGGTGAGCGTACGCGCCCTATAGCAAAAAACCTCTCTCAAAAAACCCCATTTTACATCAATAATAATAATATTGGGTCATCAGAAAAGTCATGACGCATTTTTGCACAGAAGAACATAGAAAAATATCCTGTGGCTTTCCCGACGACCCAATATTTCATTTGATGGCATTTATTTATTTATGTAACTCGTCCTCAAGTTTGAAGATGAAGCCTTTTGGTATTCCAGTATTGTATGTCATAAGCTTCACTTTTTAGGCTAGGACTGGGCAAACAGCCCTATAATCTGTACATATTGTGATAAATATCTTTTCAAGTGAGTTCTACCAAAAAAAGTGCAGGGGCCAGCAGGTGGTGTGGTGGTTCAAGGCGCTGGATTCCCACTTGGCCAACTGTGGTTTGAGTTCTGGACCTGGTGGCTTGCTTTCCTTTTTCTCTCTCTGGTCAAATTATAAACAAGTAAGAACAAACGGAATTAAAAATAAAGAAATGATTATTTTAAAAAAAGTGTGGCTCTGACACGTTATTAACTATCAGTATAAATTTGCCACAAAATCTGTCTGTCGTACCAGTTACAGCTATTAATCTTCAGTGGTTCATTTTTCCACAAAATAAGTTTACTAAACAGGATCTTTTCAATTTTATTTGTAGTATAAAACTGTTTAAAGTCGCAGCTGCTATACGGGCAATCAACTGAGAACACAAATTTATAAAATATGAGGAACCATTTGCACCATGTACTAAAAATGTGATGTCTGGAGTAAGGAATCAGTAGTTCTCAGCTAATACTAAAACAGGAAACCATTTAATATCAATTGATATTAAATTGGCACAGTCGAACTAAATTAATGTGAAATGATTTGGTGCACAGCCCAATTTTTCTATTACTTCAAGTGGAATTTTGCATTAACTTATATAACTCTAAATTTTCCACTATTCCCTATTTAATGTTCTAGCTGCATCATTCTGTAACTTGAATCTATTAAAACCGTCCAACGTTCTACCAAAGATGGTCCATAAAAGAAATGGAAATTTATTTGGAACAGTATTCTACTCCCCAAAGTTTTAGTGGTAAATAAAAATGTCCCAGACTTTATTTCTTGTTATTGATATTTAGATGTTTCTATTTAACTTTTATTGTTCAGTTGATTAAATATACCATAACTCTTTTTTTTTTTTTAATGTTGCTGGGGAAAAAGAAAGCACAGAGCATGAGAGAGAAACTAAGACACGGACGCGTTAGGAATACAATTTAAGGACTGAAAATAACCACTACATGGCACTAAGAATGCTTTAGAAGTGCTATCCGGTAAAAGCTCCACTGTTTACAGGGGTCCTGCAATATTTGTCACCTGAAAACTGTGTCTTGTACCTTTTTTTTTCTAACTGAAATCAAGTTGCATTTTTGGCCCACATTGAAAAGGAACAGAAATGAATAGTTCTTAAGCCAACACTACTGCAGGGAGCTCTGGAGTTCTGGAACAGCCATGGACACAGTGTAGCAGGTCACTTCCTCCTGTCCTAGGAGAGCGTGGCTTCCGAGGGTGTAGGCCCTCCTGGAGCTTTTCTCCCTCGCGTCGAGAGCTCTTGGCGGTCAAAGGTCCAGTACACTGGATTGGAAACAAATAAAACTGTGAGTGATAAGACTTGACTTAACTCGGGTCAAGGGAGTGACTTGAGACGTCCTGGGGAGGGCTGGGGCGACTGGATAAGCAGGAACCTAAATTCTTAACAAGGTGGAGAGGTGGCCCCCGCCCACGTTTCCAGGAAGGTAGATAAGCAGGGGAGGCGGGGAGGACCGGGTGGGTCCTCCCCACTTCTTCTGCCCAAATGTCGATTTCCCTCCGCTTCACTCCGCCCTGTCCCCTCCCCCGGCCCCTTGGCCGGCAAAACGGCTGGGGGCGCCCCCGGCCTAGCCTAGCAGTCCTGATAAAGACCACGTTTTCTCGGAAACGCGAATACCAGGAGGCAGAGGAGAAAAAAGAGAATCTGTTTCTCCTTTTCCAGGTCTAAGTCCTTTCCTGGTAGAACAACTCCCTTTTCGCACCCGAAGCGAAATGCAAACCAAAGCCACCGAACAAAACCCCCAAGGCGCCCTCAGCCCGGTTAAACCGCCTAGGGCCAGGTGCCTGAGTTGGGCGAGTCGGATTCTCTCGGTGGGAAGGGGCGGGACAAGGGGTGCGGCGAGGGTCCGAGACCAGGGACGCGGGCCACTCGCTCCGGCGGGTCCCAGGAGGGGGCCTCCAC